CACACACACACACACACACACACACACACACACAAATAAGTAAATGTAAGAAACAAAATTTTTTAAAGGGAAAGAAAAGCAGAGGCCCTGCTGCTGGCTGGAGGCCTGGGGCCTCTTGGGCCTCCTCCTCAGAGGCGAGGACACCCTGACCTGCCCATTCCCAGACTGTGCTGTCTGTGTCCAGGGCTGCCCAGGCCATGGAGGCAGCTTGGCCTCCACCCTTCTTGCCAGGAATCTTCCAGCCCTGGTGGCAGTCATCATTAGAGCCAGCTCAGGTATCAGGGCAGCTAGGCCTAGGACACCACACTCCAGAGATAGGACACTCTGTAGCTGTTTGCTGGCTGCTCAGGAAGGCATGGCCCACCTACCCTTTGACCCCTACCTGGGGAAGGCAATACCTGTGAGCTGTGTCACTGTCACTAAGAACACACAGCATGGAGTCCAACAGACCTTGCTCTGACTGTATTGTCAGTATATACTATAGGCCTAACCCCTCTGAGCCTCAGTTTTCTCACCAAGGATATAATTTAGTAACCACTTCCCAGGTTACTTCTGGGAGGCATGTACAGTGCTGGCATTCAGCAGGTGGCTATTGCCAGGCTCCGTGATTGTCTGTATAGCACTGTGTGGCAAATTCTTCCTCAGTGGGGGTGGGTCCCTTTGGCATGCAAAGTAGAGTAGCAGTCTCACCACAGCTGCTGGGTGGCCACATGTTTGTGAGGAAAATTAGGCCTGGGAGAGACTGTGGGATGCAGGCTCAGCACACATAAGAACAGGTGGCTAGGTGGCCCTTGTTCTGGCTGGCTGAGGCTTTGTGCATTCAGAAAGGCAGAGTTTCTGTCTTGTTTCTTTAGGACCCAAATACAGCAAGGTGGGACGGCTGGGCTACAGCTCTGGGTCCCCACATTCCAATGAGTCTCCCACAATGGGCCCTGTGTGCGAAAAGGGGGTTAGCATGTATCATTGGGCAGTGGGATGCAGGGGCCAGCTCAGGAGCAGCCCATGCCCAACCCCAGCAAGCTCCCAGATCTGTGCATCTGAGCAGAAAGGGGCACTCAGCCCTGCCAGGCCAGCTTCTCTTATAAGAAAATTGTGCCACCCTGCTCAGCAGAGTGTTATTGCTTAGTTGCTAGGGTGGGAGAGCAAGGTGCCTCTGAGAGGAGTGGAGAAAGAGAAGGAACCACACTGTCCCACCCAGGCTGGCCTGCAGTGTGGGTCCCTAGGTGGCTTGCCCAGTGTGGCTCATCTGAGGGAGGACAGCCTGGCTGGCACAGCTACATGCCTTTGCTTTTTGGTTTATGCCTGCCAGCTGATTCCACCCTCCTGCCCATGTTCAGGGAAGCTTTCCACAGTTCATAAACACTAGTGGTCTATGGACAGAGGCTCATCTGACCTGCTCCCCCTCCCCCTGTCAGTGGAGTCTAAGGAGGAGTGGACTCAGGACAGTATAGCTATACATGCCCTAAGCCTCCTACCCAGGAGCTGTTGCCTCTAGGAAGCCTTCCCAGAAGGTATTGAACTGGGGAGATGAAATTTGGCCCATGGAGGCAGGAAGCCACTCTCAGGACCCAGGGCTGTGGCTTTGGTCAAGTTTGGGACTTCTTGTTCCTTCTCAAATGACATCAGCCGGGTGCTAAGCAGACTCTCCTGCCATTCCCCCATCCTCGGGGGAGGGGGGCAGAGTGACCCTTCTCAGTGGGGCAAGTGGAGTTAGGATGGGCTTCTATAGGATGTGACCCACCAGAGTGAAGCCTTGGCAAGGCAGCCAACCACAGAGACTGGTTTCTAGCTGTGTCCAGTTGGGGTTCAGCTAACATCTTTGCTGTGGGCCCTGCCTACCAGAAAGAGGGTGTGGCATGTCCTTTAATAGAGGGAGCTCTGTGAGGACAAGGGCTCCAGTTGTCTAAGAGTCCAGGTCTCTACTTCTTTGCCCAACTGAGAACGCGGACAGAGGATGCTATGCCAGACCATGCCCTTGGTCACTCCTGGGGTCTGAAGAACCTTTTCTTAAGGAAGAACAACACAGAGAGGGTCAGGTAGGCTCTTCTGAGCCATAGCCAGGTTTCTTCCTACTTCCCTGAGCCCGGAACTCTTGGTGGCTTGTGGGATTGACAGCTGCAGGTTAAGTAAGGATTTTTTGGATCGTGGCTGCTTAGAGAGAGTATGTTCCTCCTCATCCCAAGGCTAGATGGCCCTTCCTCCTTTGGGTCAAGCTCTCCAGACAGCTACAGGTATCTAATCCTGTCTCTGTGTCCCCCACAGGCCATCAGCATCAGCAAAGCCATCAACAGTCAGGAAGCTCCAGTGAAGGAGAAGCATGCCCGGCGTATCCTTGTGTCCCTTGGGTCCTAGGGAGGTATGGGGAGACTGAGGATTGGGTGTGGCCCTGACCCAGAGTATGCTGGGGTTTGGAGAGCAGTGATACCTGGGGCATGACTTACTGACAACTTGAGCTGTTGAGACCTGGGATGAAGGAGAGCTTGGGAAACGTGGGGAGAAAGTGCCAGGGCCCAGATACCTACCCTCCCAACACTTCAGTCTCTGAGTCCTGCACTTGACCTTGACCCTCGAAGGCATCATTCTGGGCACTCACCATGAGAAGGGTGCTTTCACCTTCTGGTCCTATGCCATTGGCCTGCCACTGCCCAGCAGCTCCATCCTCAGCTGGAAGTTCTGCCACGTCCTTCACAAAGTCCTCAGAGATGGGCACCCCAATGTGAGTAATGGTCATAGCCCTGTGATCCCACAGGTTCAGGGGACAGGCTCCCCTCCATGCCACTGACGGTCAGTACTCACAGGAAGCAAGGCAGAGTCTCCATAAAGTGTGTAGCTCTGTCCCTGTAACTGTCTTCCTGAGTTCTGGGTGGCCCATTCCTGCCACTGCCTTTCTACGTTGTCCCTCTGGTTCTGGGCTGGAAGTCAGTGTCTCAGGACTTCCCAGTTTCTGCATCCTCACCTCCCTTCCCGTCACAGGTGCTGCATGACTGCCAGCGGTATCGGAGCAACATCCGGGAGATCGGTGACCTGTGGGTAGGTGTCAGGACAGTATCCAGGCAAGGCCCTGCCTAATGTCCAGGGGCTTTGTGAACAGGGGACGCTGATCTGAGGGTAGCATCTGGGCCTGGCAAAGTCCTCTCCTTCCTCTTTCTCAGTTGTTAGAGAGGTGTCTCTCGGCCACTATGGGAGGTGAAACATCAGTCAGTATGAAGATACAGCCTTGCTGTTGAGGCCTAGTACAGAGTATGCCTGCCATTTGCTGATTGGCCTCCAGCCCCATAAAGCACTCAAGCCCATTAGTCCCTGCCAATTGGGAAACCTGGCATCCCTGGGCCTGGTGTCCCTGAGTGCTGGTTTGATGCCTCTACAAAGCACAGAATCCCAGCCTCTACCAGACCATCTGCTTTAGAAGCCGGGTAGTAGACTTGAGTTTTCCACACACTTCCCAGATGATCCTCAGACTCAGTAGTCAAAGCCCTGGGGTGTCTATGTCTGGATCCACCTCACAATCAGCAGTCAAAGGGCCTGAATCAGAAGACAACCTCAAGCAAGTCTCAGTCTCTCCGCAACATTTCTGGATCCAACCAGAGGGAGGCCCAGCATAGCCAGGGAGTTGCCTATCCAGAACCTATATTTTATTAAACCATGTCCTTTATAGTAAGGGAAGCAGCATTCACCACAGTGCCTTTGTACAGACACCGGCCCAGCTGGCATAGCCACACACCATGGGCTTTGCAGGAGAGAACTGGGAGGCTGTGTGCAAGTACCCATCAGAATGCACCTCCCCCATCTGCCACCAGCACTTTTAATAAAGTAGCCCAACTCAGAATTTGCCCTGGACAAAGAGTTCTCTTCTCTCACAAGAATTTTTCTGTCAAGAGTGACAAGGAGTAAGATTAAGAGAAAGAAAAAGAAAAAAAAAAAGGCAGTGACAAAGAGATTAATGAGATCTGTGGAGGCTGGCGGGAAATTGAGTGAAGGAATGGCCCTTGCTTCTTCCCTTGCTATCTTGTTTCTTCATCCATCTGGATGCATGCTCAGCCCCTAAGACTCCTAGGCATGTTCTTGGCAGTGTCCTTACTCTGGGCTCCAATCCTGCAGGGGCACTTGCACGACCGGTACGGGCAGCTGGTGAACATCTATACCAAACTGTTGCTGACTAAAATCTCTTTCCACCTCAAGGTAGTTTCTCCGGAAAATCATGGGGCTGAGAGACTAGTGGGCTTTTCCCTCTGGGCTACTCGGAGACATAGAGGAGGGTGTCACCTGCCCTGTCTGTGGCCTCTCCACTTATCTGGAAGGCTATGGGTGTATATACAGACCCAATGCAGATACTAGCCCTGTCCTTGCTCCAGCAGCCATGTCTGTCAGTCCTGACCAGGCTGCCCTTGCCCCATCTCCAGGCTCTCTCCATTGCCCCCAAACTGTCAGCTACCTCTCTGCTAGCGTAACCAGAGCAGCCAGGATCACTGGGATGGGGGGACTGGAGAACCTCCCTGGCTACTCCCCTTCTCTTGGGAGCTAACACTGGGTCTGGCAGGAGCAGGGACAGGGACCAGCATGTAGCTGCCCAGCTACTGAGTGGGGATTGTCTCTGCAGCACCCCCAGTTTCCTGCAGGACTAGAGGTTACAGACGAGGTGTTGGAGAAGGCAGCTGGAACTGACGTTAATAACATGTGAGTGCATGGCATCAGTTTGCCCTAAGCAGCTCAGACCCAGGTGCCCACCAGGGGCCATAATGTCAAATGGATCCACCGCCTCTTGAAGTTGAAGGTCATGCTTCCAGAAGGCCAGGCTGAGTAGAGGGATGGGGTCTATTTGGAACTAGATGTTTCTGTTCTGGGTTAAAAGCATTTGATGGATTATGCTTCCCACTCCCATGAGGTCTTGGGCAGGCAGGAATTCCCAGTCACCCCTTGCATTCCTCCCTCCGTCTTCTCTTCTACAGCTTCCAGCTCACCGTGGAGATGTTTGACTATATGGACTGTGAGCTAAAGCTTTCTGAATCAGGTGAGTGGTCCACGGAGCAGACTCTGGGTCTGAGGGTGTTGCTCACTGTGTTGTATTGGGAAGACACCAGTAACCAGGCTAGCATGGTTTTTTTTTTGTTTGTTTTTTCCTGGTGCTGGGATGGAACCTGGGCCTCAGACATGCTAAGCAAGCGCTCTGCATTGAGCTCCATCCACAAACCAATATGACCTTCGATGCACCTGTTCCTTGGGGTCCCTGCCCCTCACAGGAATACAGATGCTACCTCTTCGTACCTCCAAAGCATTGGTAGAGCATCAGTCTGTTGGCCCCAGGATGAGGAAGGAATGGGATGTGGGCTGTGGGGGAGCCAGCTCTCTCTGTTCCTGTCTGGCCTAAGAGCAGTTGCATTATCCTCCAGGAGAGAGAATTTGGGTTTTATTTCCTACTTTGTGTCCTGAAATGCCTCTGGATCTTGTCAGACTGCTCAGCCCAGGACCTGGCAGCCATTGGACAGGAAATCTCAAAGGGCTCACCCTCCTGGCCCGGGAGGTGATTGTTCTGGGCTGTACCTTCAAAACAACTGTGGGTGACTCAGTGCTGTCCGCAGCAGGGCCCAAGGCAAATGCCTTTTTAAGAGAAAACCAAGTTTGGAAGAGGCAGGGCAATCTTCCCATGCCCAGGAAAGGCCTGTCTAGGACCCAGCATGGGAGCAGAGGGCAGGTCACCAGGGGTTGACCTAGCAATGCAGCTGTACCAGGGCCACCAGGCTTTACTCCCTGGCAGAACAGTGCTAAGCCTAAGCTTCTCATCCCACCCAGGCCAGCAGACTCAAGTCATGTCCCTGTGTCCCCACCCTGGCATGGGAGGAGGCCCATGTGAATAGGCAATGGTCTCCACAAGGAAAGTAGAAAGAGCCTACAGGCCCCCACCCTGGTGACACAGATGTTTTAGTGAAATACAAAGAAAGGGCACTGTGGCTGTGTCAGGTGTGGCATCTCTGGACAGGCCTCTGGCTGCACAGGTGACAGGTACAGGATCCCTCCTCACCTCAGCCCAGAGCGCAAAAAACAGAAACCCCTCCATGTCTTCAGTTGAAAGCTGACTCCAACACACTGGCTACAGAGGGAGTACAGGATGGCTCTTAAGAGAGATGTTCTACTCAGGAGGCTGAGGCAGGAGAATCATGGGTTTGAGGCCTGCACTACACGGTGAGTGCAAGACCAACCTGGGGAACTTAGCGAGACCCAGTCTCAAAATAAAAGTGAAAAGAGGGATAGGAATGTAGCTCAGTGGTAGTGTTTGCCTAGCATGTAGAAGGCCATGGGAAGCAGGGAGGGAGGGAAGGAAGAAAGGAAAAAGGAAAGGAGGAAGGAGGATGAAGGAAGGATGGGATTTAACCACTATCAGAAAAGATCTAGAGACCATTTTGCGTGAAATAAGGCAGATGGCAGCACTTTGTGTGTGCTTTATACAAAATGTACTTAAGAGTGACATCCAGTTAGGAATTAAGAAAAGGTGAGGGACAGCACTTTGTCTCTTCTTTCTAGTCCCTTACATCCCTGGCTCTTTCCTGTCACTGCTGAGGGTTAGGGACAGCCCCACCCCAGCCAGGGCCAGAGCAGGACTTGGGCTGGGGCGGCTGCTCTGGAACTGTTCCTGAGTCTGCCCAGCATGGGGCTACCTGGCTGTTCTCCTCTGGCTGGCTGCCTGCTCTTTGTCATCTTCTCTCTGCCTGAGAGAAGATGCTGCCCAGGGGAGGAGGCAGCCTCATGATTTTCTTTTGTCCCTCTTCCTCTGGAGCTCATACAAGACCTGATGGTCAAGGGCTCTGGGGCAAGTGACTTGGGGCTTACAGAGCCAAGTCTGGTGTTGAAGGCTGTGACCTGAACAAGACCCAGTCTGTCACTATGTCTGTAAGATGAGGCATTGGGGTGACAGTCTTTTTTATAAATTTTTGAGATAGCCTCATTTTGTAGCCCAGGTTGGCTTTGAGCTCAATTCTCCTGGCTCCTTATTCTCGGTGCTTGTTTTGTAGGTATGTGCTAACATGCCTGGCTTGGGGACAGTCTATTACATTTTTATTTATTTTGTGTACATGTGTGTGGACATGAGTGTGCCATGGTGCGTGTGTGGAGGACAGCTTACAGGAGTATCTTCTCTCCTTGTACTGTATAGGTCCCAGGAATTGAACTCAGGTTGTCAGGCTTGGCAGCAAGTACTTTTATCCACTGAACCATCTCTCTGGTCCTTGAGTGACAGTCTTAGACTCCTCTTTCTCTAAAGCCCTGAGCAAATCTGAGGCCTGTGGGCATAGAGCTGTCACTCCTGTCTCTTCAGCACCTTGTCTCAGGCCCACCACGGCTTCTGGAAGACCCTTGCTGAGTGAAACTGAAGATTATTAAGCTTATTGCCCAACCTTGCTGAAACGCTTGACCTTGTTCCTGGGAGCATGGCTTTGGCCTGGGACAGCTACCAGAATATGGGTTCCAGTCCCAGGCTAGAGCATGCTGGTATTGAAGACTGAGTCCCATCCGTCTTCAAACCTTCACAGTACTCTTGACAACACAATGGAGGGCCACTCATTGGCTCAGGGCCACCACAGCCAGGGCTGTTACTAAGGTGGCCAATTGGGGGCTACTCTGTACCATGTGTCCAGCTTGCTCACACTGGCTTCCTCTTTCCCCTCTTCCACAGTTTTCCGGCAACTCAACACAGCCATTGCAGTGTCCCAGATGTCCTCTGGTCAGTGCCGCCTGGCCCCTCTCATCCAGGTCATCCAGGACTGCAGCCACCTGTATCACTACACAGTCAAGCTCATGTTCAAGCTGCACTCCTGTGAGTGGTCCTATCTGCATCCCAGAGTTGTGGCAGTGGTTGGGACCTATGGGGCCTTGCATATCCTGAAGGGAAGGACTGAGGGGTTAACTACAAGTTTACAGAGAACACCTATAACCCTATTGATGTAAATAATATACTTTGTGAAAAAAAAAAAATCACCATTTTGCAAAGCAGAAAGACTTGAGTGTGTAGAATAGTATAGTTTTAGCTTTTCATATCTCTCTGGACTCCTGGTGTTAGAGAGTACAGTGGCCATTTACCTGCTCTTAAGTGTCCCACCATGTCCTGTGGGGAACTGAGGTGAAAAGGCTATTACTGTAGTGTTCAGAAAAGGGTCCTGGGGTCACTTGAGCTCCACAGGGTGTACTTGTTATGTCACAGTAGCCCAGGAGCTAAGTGCTATATCACAGGAGCCCAAGACCTTAAGTGCTACATTGTAGTGACCCAGGGAATAAATGCTACCATCTCAGTAGCTCAGAACTTAAGAGCTATATCACAGTAGCCCAATACCTAAGTGCTACCATCTCAGTAGTCCAGGACCTTAAGTGCTACATTGCAGTAGCCCAGGGCATAAGTGCTACCATCTCAGTATCTCAGCTGTCTAAGTGCTAGCTATGCCACAGGAGCCCAGAGTTGAGGCATCTCATTACAGTGATCATATAGTGCCCCTCAAAACCAGGCTCTGATACTGTCTTTCTGCCGACTCACTGCGCCATCTCTAACTCAGAATGTTAGAGCTAGAGCCCCCATGGATTCTCATTTCTATTCCCAGTTGGGGTGGGACTAGCTGGGTCACAGGGACCTTTAATCTCCTGTGGTCCAGAACATGGAGGTAAAGGAGGGAAAGAGCCTTAGTGCAGAGAGGAAATCTGGTTGTACTGTCAACCCTCAGGTCTTCCAGCAGACACCCTGCAAGGCCACAGGGACCGGTTCCATGAGCAGTTTCACAGGTACTGGCTTGGGCACAGCTAAGGCATGACTGGGAAGAGGACTTGTGGCACTCCTGTGACCTATCACCCTTTTCCATCCATAGCCTCAAAAACTTCTTCCGCCGAGCCTCAGACATGCTGTACTTCAAGAGGCTCATCCAGATTCCCCAACTGCCTGAGGTGCCTTCCCTGCACCCTGGTTATAGCCCCTAGGTACCCCCAGGCTCTGGCTGGGTCCCCCATAGGAGGACAGCTGAACAACTCCCACTTGCTGCCCCTACAGGGACCCCCCAACTTCCTGAGGGCCTCAGCCCTGGCTGAGCACATCAAGCCTGTAGTAGTGATTCCTGAGGAGGCCCCTGAGGATGAGGAACCCGAGAACCTCATTGAGATCAGCAGTGGGCCCCCAGCTGGGGAGCCAGTGGTAAGCTCCCCCTCTGCTAGTCTTTCCATGTCACACTGTCCCCCATGAAGAGGGGCCTCCAGTTCAACATAAGGCAGGGCGAGCTATAGGGTGACTGGGCCTTCCTGACCATGCACAAAAGTATGGGGCAGGGGTCAGTGTTCTCTGCTGTGGCAGGTGGTGGCTGACCTCTTTGATCAGACCTTTGGACCTCCTAATGGCTCCGTGAAGGATGACAGGTGAGTCCCATGGAGCCGGCTGGGTGGAGGGCTAGAAAGGCCATGGTGGGGCCTCATGAAACACCCAAATCCTGAGGGGCCATGAGTGAGAACTGGGCTACTGTGTGGGGGTCTCTGACCTGGCTGATGAGCTTGAGCCCCAGGACCTCTCCCCAGGGACCTCCAAATTGAGAACCTGAAGAGAGAGGTGGAGACCCTCCGTGCAGAGCTGGAGAAGATCAAAATGGAGGTGAGGGTGAGTGGCAGAGGGTGGTCCCCACATGGGCCAGGCAGGACCCTACACCATCCTTCCCTCCCTGCAGGCCCAACGGTACATTTCGCAGCTGAAGAGCCAGGTAAACAGCCTGGAGGCTGAGCTAGAGGAGCAGAGGAAGCAGAAACAGAAGGCCCTGGTGGACAATGAGCAGCTCCGCCATGAGCTGTCCCAGCTGAAGGCCTTGCAACTGGAGGGCGCGCGCAACCTGGGCCTGCGAGAGGAGGCCGAGAGTGTGTACCTTGGTGGCCGTGCCTGGGGACCAGGAGAGGGGCAGACTCCACTCTGCCTGCCCACCACTCAGCCTCTCCTCTCCTGTCCACAGGGAAGGCCAGCGCCACAGAGGCACGCTACAGCAAGCTGAAGGAGAAGCACAGTGAGCTTATCAACACGCACGCCGAGCTGCTCAGGAAGGTGGGTGCCCCCGTCCCACCCTGACTGCAGAAGGGCAGTGCATGCTGGGGTCCAGAGTAGGAAACTGTCCCCTGTCTTCCAGAACGCAGACACAGCCAAGCAGCTGACAGTGACACAGCAGAGCCAGGAAGAGGTGGCACGAGTGAAGGAGCAGCTGGCCTTCCAAATGGAGCAGGTGAAGCGCGAGTCCGAGATGAAGGTATGTTTGGTATGTGTAGGGCACCACCCTGTATCTCCCGAACCCTGCTCTCCTACTGACACGCTGTCCTGTCCCAGCTGGAGGAGCAGAGTGACCAGCTGGAAAAACTCAAGAGGGAGCTGGCAGCCAAGGCAGGAGAGCTGGCCCATGCACAGGAAGCCCTGAGCCGTACAGAGCAGGTTCTGCTGGTTGGGAGGGCTGGGGTGGTGCTAAGATTGGCCTGGGACAAGTCATGTCCTCTTTCCTGTAAACCAGGCCACACTGACCTGCCTCCAGATTCAGGGGGCCCTCAGCCAGGCCCAGCTGCAGCCCCAAACCTCAGGAAGCTCTCAGTCTCATGGGTGGTTGACTAGTAAACATGGGGCGAGGGCAGGCAGGGTTGAGACAGGTGTTCATGCCCTCATGTTCACAGAGTGGGTCGGAGCTGAGCTCACGCCTAGACATGCTGAGTGCAGAAAAGGATGCACTGAGCGGAGCTATGCGGCAATGGGAAGCTGAGCTGCTGGCTGCACAGAGTCTGGTGAGGGAGAAGGAAGAGGCGCTGAGCCAGGAGCAGCAGCGCAGCTCCCAGGAGAAGGGCGAGCTGCAGGGGCGGCTGGCAGAGAAGGTATGGCCTCCTCCTCACCATTTCCCCTTAGGCAAGTCAGTGTTCTCACTGTGGAGAAGCCTGGCTTCCAGTTGGTATTGCTAGGATGTTCTTAACCTCTCCAGAATGAAGCCCCAGCCAGTACCAGTTCTCTTCATCCTCACTACCATTTATTACTGTCATTTTATTTTAGCGCACTGAGTGAGCGTGATGCTCTTGCTCATTTTTTTGAGACTCTGTAGCCCCGGCTGGCCTCAAACTTGGGGTAGTCCTCCTGCCTCAATCTTTGTGCTGGGTGTGTTCTGCCATACAGGGCTGCTTATTATGATTCTGGTTTGCATTTCCTCCTTGGCTAGTGATACTGAGCATCTTTTTTTACTTTTTAATATTACATTTATTTAGTGTATTTGTAGGTATGCGGGGGTTGGTGCCATGGTGTGCATGTGTAGGTCAGAAGACAGTTTGTGGGAATTGTTTCTCTCCTATCATGTGGGTCTCAGGAATTGAACTCAGGTCATCAGCTTGGCAGCAAGCACCTGCTAAGCCATCTCGCCAGCCCACTGAGCATTTTTTCAGGCACTTAGTGGTGATAAGTCTGTTCAGGTCCTTTGCCAGCTTGTTAATTGGGCTGTTTCTCACTTTTTGTCCCCCTTTTTGAGTAGCCCAAGTCCTGGGAGGTAGGGAGATGGTCTGGAAATCCTTACCCCAGCCAGTCTAGGGCATCCTTCCAAGTGAGGGCCTCTGGTCCTGACCAGCTCCCCAGTCAGCCCATGGAGCTGAGCCACCACCCTCGGCCTTGAGGAGGGATCTGTAGACTTCTGACTCCCTCCCACCAGGAGTCTCAAGAGCAGGGGCTGCAGCAGAAGTTGCTGGATGAGCAGTTTGCAGTGTTGCGGGTTGCTGCTGCTGAGGCTGAGGCCATCCTTCGAGATGCAGTGAGCAAACTGGATGACCCCTTGCACCTGCGCTGTACCAGCTCCCCAGGTATGCCCTCAGGGGCACCTCCCTCCCTTCTGTGCAAAGGTGACCATCTCATCCACTAGTGCGTGCTTGCTTCCTTCTGTCATCCCACCCTGAGAAGTGGCAGTGGGCTAAAGCTTTATGCACTCCCTGTATTTGCAGACTACCTAGTGAGCAGGGCCCAGGCAGCCCTGGACAGTGTGAGCGCCCTGGAGAAGGGTCACACCCAATACCTGGCTTCCTCTGAAGGTGAGTACAGCCAGGAAATAGGATGGGGCCCTAGGTTCTGAAGGATTCCTGAAGCTCGGGGCTGCCCCTTGTGGAGGTTTTCAGGGTGGCAGGTGCCTCTTCAGGAAGCCTGCTCTCTCTCACCCAGACACCTGGCCTTGTAGGCAAAGAGCATGGTGCCACTAGGCTGTGCAGGGAATAGAGGGGCAAGGGGCCTGGGCCACCCTGTCCCTGGTTACAGCTCCACTGCCTTGTAGCTGCCTGGGCTTCAGCACCCCTTCTGTCCTCATTCATGAACGAGGGCACTGGTGCCTTGGCCTGGGCTCACTGGGAAAATGATACAGTGGTCCTAGTGTTCCCACGCAGGAGCATCTCACTGCTCCCAACAACCTTTGCCCTGTCTACCTACAGATGCCTCTGCCCTGGTGGCAGCCCTGACCCGCTTCTCCCATCTGGCTGCAGATACCATCGTCAGTGGTGGTGCCACCTCCCACCTGGCCCCCACTGACCCTGCTGACCGTAAGTGGGTCCTAATGCCAGCGTCTGGTTGTCTCTCCAGCTTGTCTCCCACAGGGATTTTTATAGTGTTATGGAGAAAAGGAGGGCCTAAAGATAAGTCCTTGGGTTAGGGTGTGTGGGGACTTTATTCAGCTTCTTAGGTGAAAGCTCTGCTGATAGACCTTCCCTCTACCCACCATAGGCCTGATTGACACATGCAAGGAGTGTGGGGCCCAGGCTCTGGAACTTATGGGACAGCTGCAGGACCAGACAGCACTGCCAAGGGCACAGCCCAGCTTGATTCGGAACCCCCTGCAGGGCATCCTTCAGCTGGGCCAGGTGAAGTTTACAGCTGAGGCACTGAGCAAGGGCTGAGGAGCTGCTTACTCTACACTTCCCAGTGGGTTGGGCTAAGCAGATATGCATGCCCAGAGCCTTCAGCTTCAGGGAACAGGACAAGGACTTGGGATTGCACCCTCCCCGCTTACCCCAGCCTTGTGTTCCCTAGGCATCTTTCCCTGGGGCTTGATGAGGTTGAATCTACCTGTTGGTCTCTTGTTCTCCCAGGAGCTGAAGCCTAAGAGCCTGGATGTGCGGCAAGAGGAACTAGGAGCCATGGTTGACAAGGAGATGGCAGCCACCTCTGCAGCCATTGATGATGCTGTACAGAGGATAGAGGTGAGGACTGGGGGTTGGGACTCCCCCAGTTTCTGCAGGAGCTTCAGGGGATGGAGGCACCAGCTGAGTGAGCTGGAGGCTACATCTGAGAAGGAGGGGATGGACAGCATGTTCTTAGAGACTGCTGTCTCTGTCATTGGGTGTAGGACATGATGAACCAGGCCCGTCACGAGAGCTCAGGGGTGAAACTGGAGGTGAACGAGAGGTGAGCTCTGCTTCCACTCCCCAGTCCCCCAACATGAGGGGACTTCCCCAGGTCCAGAAGGTTTTACCCTCCTGCCTATACAGTGTCCAGAAAGGAGGGATAAACTAAAAGGAGGAGCTGAGCTGGAGACTGCTCATATCCCCTACCCTGCTATGGCTATGCCTTGCATGGTGTCGCATGACCACAGTACAGAGCAGTCTTCTCTTTCCTTCTTACTCCTCCCCAGGATCCTAAACTCCTGCACAGACTTGATGAAGGTGAGTGGGTGGGTGACCCCAAGGCAGGCTCTGTGTCGGGGCCACCTGGAAAGTCACACACATCTTGGTCTTGGCAGGCCATCCGGCTCCTAGTGACGACCTCCACCAGCCTGCAGAAGGAAATCGTTGAGAGTGGCAGGGTGAGCAGAGTGGGCTGCATTCTGGTAGCTTCCCTCGATGGACCAGCAAGAAATATCACCCCAGGGTCCCAACCCCTTTGGGCCTGATGATGCACCCCCCCACCCCCACCACACCGGGCTTGATGTCACAGCCGAAAAGCCCCACACCCCAGGGATGCTTCAGGAAGGCCTCAGGGATGTGCTGTGGGTTCTGGGGACAGGGCCTGGGAGTTTGTTCTTACCTATTAGGTTCCTGGTTGAACCAGCCTGTATTTTCCTCTTGCTGCCACTAGGGGGCGGCCACACAACATGAATTTTATGCCAAGAATTCACGGTGGACTGAAGGCCTCATCTCCGCCTCTAAGGCAGTGGGCTGGGGAGCCACACAACTAGTGTATGTTGCCCCGGGTGGGGGTGAGGGTGGGCCAGGTGCTAAGGGTCTGGGAGGGTGCCTGCTGTTTGTGGTGCAGAGACCCAGGACCTGACCATTCCCCACCTCTTAGGGAGTCTGCTGACAAGGTGGTGCTTCACACTGGCAAGTATGAGGAACTCATCGTCTGCTCCCATGAGATTGCAGCCAGCACAGCTCAGCTGGTGGCAGCCTCCAAGGTGAGAATATGTTCACATTGGCAATCCCTAGGCTTTGTGCCTGGCCTGACCTTGGGGCCCTGAACTGCTGCTGCCTTTGGCCAACAAATGCATGGCCCACTCTGCTTCCCACAGGTAAAAGCTGACAAGCACAGTCCCTACCTGAGCCGCCTGCAGGAGTGCTCCCGCACTGTCAATGAGAGGGCTGCCAGCGTAGTGGCCTCTACCAAGTCAGGCCAGGAGCAGATTGAAGACAGAAGTGAGTGCTGAAATGTTCAAAGGGGACTGCTGCCTTCCTGGTGGGAGTAACCATCTAGATACTTATCTTTTGCCCCTGACCACAGACACTATGGATTTCTCTGGCCTGTCCCTCATCAAGCTGAAGAAGCAGGAGATGGAGACTCAGGTGGGTACCCCGTTCCTACAGCTGCCAGGCTCCCTCTCATGGCTTAGCTCTGGGAAGGCCCCTGGGGGTCATGGGCAGTGCTGAGCTGGCTTTTGTGGTCTACAGGTACGAGTCTTGGAGCTGGAGAAAACACTGGAAGAGGAGCGTGTGCGGCTGGGGGAGCTGCGCAAGCAGCACTATGTGTTGGCCGGGGTGATGGGAACACCTGATGAGGAGGAGCCCAGCCGGCCCAACCCAGCTCCCCGAAGTGGGACTACCAAGAAGCCACCACTGGCCCAGAAACCCAGCATAGCCTCCAGGCAGGACAACCAGGTACCAAGCATCAGTGCTGGGACAGGGAGGAGAACCTGGGTGGTGCATGTCCTTCTGGCCTCATCTCTAAGCCCCTCATCTTTGACCCCTGCAGCTCAACAAAAAGGACGCTGTCTACCCAGCTCAACTCATGAACTACTAGACCCTAAGGAGTTCAGCAGGATGGCTGGTCAGGCCTGGGCCTCACATGGCTGTCCTACAAGGGTCAAGGGGCCTCTGAAGGGTCTCCAGCTCTTGCACTTGGTGCCTGAATCAGTGTCCTTAAAGCCCCAGCATTCAACAGCTCAGCCAGCCTGGGTTACATGGGATGGTTCATCTGGATGTGAGTCTATTTATCTTCAGGAGGAAGTGCCCAGAGCAGCCAGGACCCAGCAGGCCTGAGCTACAACTCTGCAACGAACATATGGAATGTTTCAAATATTCCATGTTAACCCTTTCTTCATAAGTTTCTAGTCCACACACTGGGAAACAGGGCCATCCAAGGGGCCTCCCTGCTTCTGGACTCAAAAAGTCTGAGGCTGTAAGTGAATAGAAAGAAAGGGTCCCTGCTGCCTATCAGGAGCAAGGGGGGGTTCCCTGTGGCCTTGGAGAGACACAGATTCCAAGGTTGTGTGGCCTCAGGCAGAGCAGGTAGGCCTGACGCTAGGGCATCCATGCTGGGAACCCCAGGAAACCAGGCTCTGTGTTGGATTTGGGCAGCAGAGTGTGACCGGGGCTGCTGCTGGCTGTGCCAATGGGCAGCCCTGGCTTAGGTGCTGCCTCTGCTCCGAGTTTCCATTCCCAGCTGAACTTGGTAGCCACCCTTCCACTTCCTGTTTTCTACTCTCCTGGCCTAGCTGCCCCTGCCCATTGTGGCTGCTCATCACCTACCTTGGTGGATGGATTTCAGCCCTCCTGAAGGTTTTCTAGCTGTGAGGAGCTAAGAAACCAGAGCTGTGATACCACTTTCCCAGGGGATCAGGAATTCCTGTTAGACCCTCAGGGAGGGGCAGCCCAAGACTTGAAGCCCTGGCCTTGCCTTCCCCTAACAGTTTGAATAAAATTTGTGCTTCTTGAGTCTGAGGGGAGTAGTTGAGGGTGGGGTGGGTCCAGGCCACAAATAGAGCCAGTAGTTGGACTGGACAAGTGTCCAGCTTCTCTCCTGGTTCTGCCCTGTGCCTGGGAAGGCTACTCACCATGGGCCAGAGTCTGGGGCTATGAAAGGGAGCCAGCTTCTTTGCCCTGTGTCTAATATTCTCCATGTTGAAGTTCTCTTGGCAATAAAACACACTGACTGTTGTCACCAGTGCCCCGGAGGGCCTGTGCCAAGCTTTTCATTGTTCCAGGGGTGCATGCTCTCATCAGGCCTTGGGTTAGGCCTTCATGGTTTCTGTAGCTGACACTGGAATACTCGGGACTGTGGAGAACATTAGTGCTGCTGGTGTTTCTGCCAAGTGCGTTTTTCCACACATTTATATGGCTTGGGCCATCCTTTACCACATGCTGAGCCAGCCATCACCCTTCTCCACAAGGCCTCCCTAACTGAGGCCACCATTATTCAAGCCTGGAACTCCCATAGTCTCCCTAGGTCCTCACTAGTGGTTAATGCCCTAGCCACTGCATCTGTCTTTTTGCCTCCCCCACATACCCCCCCGCCCCCACCATTTATAGGACCCAAGAGCAGTGTAGGTTGGGACAGAATCAACCAGTCAACCTTTGGCTGCCAGCCTTCTACCATCAGAGTGGGGCTGGCTTACCCAGGGAAGCTAGGCAGCAGCATGGAAGGCCGTGTTTCACACACTAATCACCATACTGTGAGGCCGATGGAGATGCAGGTCAAGTCTGGATCCTGTTTGTATGGCAAAACAGCTTCAGAGTAAAGTATACAGTTGCCAAATACAAATCAGTGAAAATCAGCACAAGCTAACTATGTTTAATGACCCAAGGGACCCATCTGACCTCAAATCCTCACTGGTCAATCCTGGAACTGGAGACCACCTCAGGTGTCCTGCATTAGAAATCAAGAGTGTCTCCCTGGTCCTCAGCAGCAAAAAAGGCCAAAGTGGGAAAAGAGGCTCTAAAAGGACTGAGTTCATGAGGAGCTGTGCAGTCTTAACATACTCACTGGGGAGGGGCTACAAATTTGGCTATAAGCTTCCTAGCAGCCACTGGGAAAGGAAACTACCAAACTTTTCCCAAGGCATACTGATTTTTCAGGACACATGTTCCCCTTGACATGACTGCAGGCATCTTTCCTGCTCATCATTGAGGGACAGTGCATTAAGCAGCATTTTCCTCAGAAGTGGTCATGGATCAGCTTGCACAGGGTTGCTCTTGGGTCAAGTCACCAGTACACACAGCATCAGATAGACAAGGTCATAGACACACAGGGCAGCCAGGGGAGCAGGTGTACAAGGTCATAGGTACAAAGTCAGCCAGGCATACCAAGTCACAGAGGCATGCATACCAAGGGTGGCATGCACAGGAGGCAGAGCTGGCAGGATCTTTCCTCATAGCTACAGGAAAGCAGCACCCACTGGGGCTTGGTGTGGGAGGGTAGCAGTGTGCACTCTTGAAACATGTTCCTAAAGCAAAGTGTCATGCTACCATCTGACAAAGCCAGGCTCTAGTTCCTCTCTCAGTTGTATAGGCCTGTGGACAGAGACCAGAGACAGCCCAAGTCCTGTGGTCACCCTCAGCACACTGCCCTAGCACTGTGGCTGCACTCCCAAAGACACATTCTTATAAAAGGGACGTACTTTTTTCCGTTACTGTTGTCCGGTTAAAAAGGGGGTGAACACAAGAGTCCTATGGCTAGTACCAGGGGCCCTGGGCAAGTAAAACCTTCAGTCCACAGTGGGTTGTTTTTTTTTTTTTTATGTATGAGTGTATTGCCTGCGTGTATGTGAGTGCACCCGTGTCGTACAATGCCTCGGAAGTCAGAAGAGGGCTTTGGATTCCCCTGGGACTGGAGTTAAGGACAGTTTGTAGCCACCATGTGGGTGCTGGGAATCAAACTCGAGTCCTCTGCAATAGCAATCAGTGCTCTTAACCGCTGAGCCAGCTCTCCAGCCCCCCCCACCCCGCTTTTTAAATCTGAGATCTATATAGCCCTATGTAGAACTATGTAGAGCAGCCTGGCCTCAAACTCACACAATCCTCCTGCCTCTGCCTTCTAAGTCCTAGAATTATAAGCCGACACATGCAGAGTGACTTTAAAAATGTTTTCTGATTTTTATTTTACATATATGAGCATTTTTACTACATATATGTAAGTGTACTACATGCATGCAAACCTATGGAGGCCAGAAAAAAGGCAGTGGATCCCTTGGAACTAGAGTTACAGAGGGTTGTTAGCCACTCTTTGGGTGCTGCGAACCAAACACGGGTCATCTGGAAGAGCAGCCAGTACTCTTAACTGCTGAGCCATCTTCCCCAGCCCCTTCAGAGTGGCTTTTGTAACATCAAGAACAGTCAGCACCCCAGCTGGACCTGTGATCACTGATGTTCTAGAAGCAAACATGTCACAAACATGCCCAAGTAGAAACAGGCTTAAAAAATAATAAAGTGACAGAATGAAATTAATAATCCCAATTTATTGAGTCCTACAACTTTACAACCCCAGTGCCAGACATGGCCCTGGGTAGTGACGGCAGGTCAGCCTGGAGGCCCCTTCACAACATCCACCCGGAGTCTCCATTTGGCTGCAGCTTGTGACTGGTTGGTTGGCGTTCTTGACAGCAGGCAGTGGCAGAGGTATCCAGGAGAGGGTGGCACCACTCGCTTGAGGTTCAGAGACCGTGGCAAGCCCACCTAATTGGCATGGTAGTGAATCATCCCAAACAGCTTTGTTTCTTTACAAAATGGTTACAATAGGGTAGAGTTCAAGTCCAAGAACAGGAGTAGAGAACTTGATGACAAAGGCTGGTAGCCTGGCCTATGGCCCAGCTGGACAGGCTATCAGCTCTGCCTTTACTCTGTCACCTGGGGTTACAGCCAGCTGGCAGCTGGTCATTGGTGGGGCCCTTTTCTGTAAAGAGGTGTGGGTGCTGCCCTTCCCCCAGCTGGGCCCCGGGAATTCTGCACACATGGCACCTGCAGATGAGATCGCAGAGAGGAAGGAGCTGCTACTGCTGATCCTGGAGAGTGGGCTATCTTCAACTCCAACCCCTCCCATGCCCTTGTCCAACACCCGCAGCACGGCCAGCCCGGAGGCCCAGATGCCAGCCAGTGAGTGGCAGAGAATCCTGCCTGAGAGTATCCTGGTTGAAGGTGGGTGGGCCTTTCTCCCACCTGTCACAAAGCAATGAACTTGGATGAGCCCATCTGGCAATGTAGGACTGCTGGGACCCTGCCTACACTGTGGACCCCACAGGGCAGCCATGGCATCTGAGTCCTGGCACCAAGTGAAGCTAAGGCACAGCACGGGCACCCGCAGATGTGACAATGCACTGCTTGCATGAGGAAGCTGCATTCACTTCATCTGCATTTTAACCTGCTCAAAACAGTATCTGCATTTTTAAAAAAGTTTCCCTGAAAGGTACTGAGAGAGTTAAAAAGTTTTCTTTCCAAATATAAAACAGGAAAATTACATATTTTGTAAAAATACTGAGAGCATTTTTTCACAAAAACCATCAGGGGCCGGCTCAAGGTGTGAGGGGAGAGCTGGGGACAGTGTGCTACTAGCTCACACTGGTCTCATTACACACAGGGCCATAACTCCTGGCCTCTGGGTGCAGTAGCAAGCTGGGTGCAAACTTTGCTTGTGGCTCTGAAACATGAGACGTGTCCATGGGGTGGGTGTGGAGGTGGGTGTGTGTAACTGTTAAGGACCTGCTTGGCACTGACTCAGTGAGCAGCACAGTTGCCTATCATGGCCTGGCCATAGGCACACATTCCAGGCTGGCCAGTATAGACCAGCCTTTACCAGAGCCACAGCAGCTGGTAGGCCAAGACTTGAAAACAAAACATATAATAACCATGCTTATTAAATAAAGCTGCAATGGGAGGGCCACGGTTCTAAATGGAGTAGAGGAGGTGGTTTATCTTCCCAAATGCATGAGTTTGTCAATGCTACAATACTTAGAAATCACACCCAGAACGTAAACTGAGACAACGAATAGGTATGCCTGGCCCAGACCTGGCACACACACAACACCCTTGGTGCACAAAACCTGGTCTCTATTACTTACCACTGACCTACAGTTCTAAAATCAGATGGACACACTGGCTCACGGCACCTAAGCCCTTGGCCCAGCCACCGGACCTCGAGCCTCCGTCTGCAGAGTCTGGTGTGGCAGGCAGAGGGCACCTCCCATGAAGAATGGGCACTGGAGCTCACTGGAGGATGAAACCTGGCTGGTGTGGAGCCAGCCGTGGTGGGGGTCTCTGGGGCAGGGCTGGTGGATATGGTGACACAAACTGTGTAGAGAATCCTTGCTGAGGGGGAAGGCCCACCCGGGGGGGCAGAGGTGGGCACTGCAATCCTGGGTATGGAACAGCCTGTCCTGAGCCCATGGCAGCAGTGAATGGAGTGGCTAAGCGTCCTGCAGGCACTGGGGGTGGAGGTGGGGGGATGCGCCGTGGCATGACAGAGGGGGGTCCACTGGCCTCCAGAGAGGGATAGGACAGAGGAGTAGCAGGTAAAGGCTCAGGCATCCTGGGTGGCAGTGGGGCCCCGGCCTGTGGGAGTCTCTGTCCCTTCAGCACCAGCTCTTGAAGCTTCTCAACTTTTACACGTCGCATGTGTGCCAGCTTCCGCTTGTTCTGGTAGACATCAATGAAGGCATCTAGAGGGAGTTCTCCATCCAGAAACTTCTCTGCCATGTTCTGCAAGTAGTAGGAGAAAGCCGGTTACAAGACAGGTCAACCACTAGGAAGAAGGTCCCTTTGCAGTGCAGGCCCTCAGCCCACACACCCTCCTCCTGAGAACACTAGGTGCCCGTGCTTCTGCCACTGGCTCAGAGTGCAGACCCTTGAAGATGTTCCTGGGCCTGGCTCATGCTGGCAGGAGCCTCCACCAAGCACAGCCATAGAAGATGAGGTGGGTGGTCCTGCTGTCAGCTCCACCCTGTGGAACCACAAGCACAGGCAGATGGCAAGGCTGGCAAGCCCCTACCTTATAACAAAGCAGCCCTGATCCAGAGAGATGGCTGCTGCCCCCAGGTCCTGCCCTCTTGGAGTTAAGTCCATTGAAGCTAACACCTTCTGGTTTTCCACCTTGCTGTACCCAGAACGACTGACTCACCCTGGATACAGCAGAACAGAAACTTGCTTGTGACCATCAGGGCCAACCAAAGCCTAACAGTTACAGACCAACTGTGACCTGGGCACCACACAGCCAGCCTTGACTTGCTATAAAGGCTTTATACTCAACCCTGACTCATTCCCCTGTTCAACCAAGCAAGGCTCAGGCTATGTATTCACAGTCAGCCATGCCTGAAAGGCCACTAGCTGACTCACCACAGCAGATGGCCACTCAGCCACTGGCGCCCATGCGGTTAGCACTGATTCAGTGCAGCATGCATACCCTCATCTGGTCCTGCACTGGACCACCCTTTGCCCCCTGCCTAGCACCTTCCCCAGACATAGGCTACGATGCCCATTCACACTTTAGCCTGTATGCCTGGAAGGTGCCACCATGTGCCTATGGAGGTGTGGGGTTCCCAAGTCCTGGAGGAAGTGGGTCCACTGACTGAAGAGAGTGATCCAAGACCCTGGAAATGTGGTCTGAGGCATTCCACCAAGGCAGGCTGGTCTTACCTCGGTGTCTTCCTCAATCTTGGCCCCTTCGGCTTGAAGAAGTGCTAACAGAGTCTCCAAGGATGCACTGTTAGACTGTTTATCTAGAAAAGGCAAAAAGCATGATGATGTGAGGTACAGTCCCACCAAGACACCTTCCAGTTTCCTTGACAGAGAAAGTCATTTTTAACTAGAGAAGCAACAAGAGCTAACTTTCCAGAAAGCTGAGAGTAAAAGCTTCAATTCACCACAGGAACTGCACAGAACAAGGGCCAGGAGGCAGACTTGGACCATCATCATGCCTCAGAGCATGAGTGCCATGTGTCCCATGGAGCAGGCTGCTTCACATACCTGACCATAACACCATAATCACATGGGTTTTTCCCCAGTACTAGGGGTTGAACAAGGGCCTTGCACATGCTAGGTAAGCACTGTACCAAAGAGTTCAACCCCCAGCCCTTCCCACCTTATCTGCCATGTTCTGCAAGTAGTAGGAGAAAGCCGGTTACAAGACAGGTCAACCACTAGGAAGAAGGTCCCTTTGCAGTGCAGGCCCTCAGCCCACACACCCTCCTCCTGAGAACACTAGGTGCCCGTGCTTCTGCCACTGGCTCAGAGTGCAGACCCTTGAAGATGTTCCTGGGCCTGGCTCATGCTGGCAGGAGCCTCCACCAAGCACAGCCATAGAAGATGAGGTGGGTGGTCCTGCTGTCAGCTCCACCCTGTGGAACCACAAGCACAGGCAGATGGCAAGGCTGGCAAGCCCCTACCTTATAACAAAGCAGCCCTGATCCAGAGAGATGGCTGCTGCCCCCAGGTCCTGCCCTCTTGGAGTTAAGTCCATTGAAGCTAACACCTTCTGGTTTTCCACCTTGCTGTACCCAGAACGACTGACTCACCCTGGATACAGCAGAACAGAAACTTGCTTGTGACCATCAGGGCCAACCAAAGCCTAACAGTTACAGACCAACTGTGACCTGGGCACCACACAGCCAGCCTTGACTTGCTATAAAGGCTTTATACTCAACCCTGACTCATTCCCCTGTTCAACCAAGCAAGGCTCAGGCTATGTATTCACAGTCAGCCATGCCTGAAAGGCCACTAGCTGACTCACCACAGCAGATGGCCACTCAGCCACTGGCGCCCATGCGGTTAGCACTGATTCAGTGCAGCATGCATACCCTCATCTGGTCCTGCACTGGACCACCCTTTGCCCCCTGCCTAGCACCTTCCCCAGACATAGGCTACGATGCCCATTCACACTTTAGCCTGTATGCCTGGAAGGTGCCACCATGTGCCTATGGAGGTGTGGGGTTCCCAAGTCCTGGAGGAAGTGGGTCCACTGACTGAAGAGAGTGATCCAAGACCCTGGAAATGTGGTCTGAGGCATTCCACCAAGGCAGGCTGGTCTTACCTCGGTGTCTTCCTCAATCTTGGCCCCTTCGGCTTGAAGAAGTGCTAACAGAGTCTCCAAGGATGCACTGTTAGACTGTTTATCTAGAAAAGGCAAAAAGCATGATGATGTGAGGTACAGTCCCACCAAGACACCTTCCAGTTTCCTTGACAGAGAAAGTCATTTTTAACTAGAGAAGCAACAAGAGCTAACTTTCCAGAAAGCTGAGAGTAAAAGCTTCAATTCACCACAGGAACTGCACAGAACAAGGGCCAGGAGGCAGACTTGGACCATCATCATGCCTCAGAGCATGAGTGCCATGTGTCCCATGGAGCAGGCTGCTTCACATACCTGACCATAACACCATAATCACATGGGTTTTTCCCCAGTACTAGGGGTTGAACAAGGGCCTTGCACATGCTAGGTAAGCACTGTACCAAAGAGTTCAACCCCCAGCCCTTCCCACCTTATATATATATATATAATTTGTTATTTTTATTTCATGTGTATGAGTGTACTGTGTGGTATGTAAGTGCACCCGTGTCATGCAATGCCCACAGAAGTCAGAAAAGGGTGTTGGATCCCCTGGAACTGGAGTTACAAATGGTTGTTAGCCACCTTGTGGGTGCTGGGAACTGGACCTGGGTCCTCTGCAATAGCAGCCAGTGCTCTTAACTGCTGGGTTATCTTTCCAGCCCCAAATGCCTTTATATTTTAAGATACAGTCTCACCAAACTGGTCAGGCAGCCTCAAACTTGCACTCTCCCCTCAAGTAGCTGGAATTACCAGCATTTGCCACCTTTCAAAGTAGTACCTCCTATTTCTCTTATTATTACTAATCCCAACTGTTCTTCCTTAGGGTTTCTTGTTTTTGAATGATAACATCAAAACATACACATCTAAAGTCTTAGATTCAAAAACATATGATGGGCCAAGGAATGGCTCAGTAGTTAGAAGTGCTTCTTACTCTTGCAGAGGACTCGAGTTCAGTTCCCAGCACCCACATCAGATGGCTCACAACAGCATGTAACTCCAGATCCAAAGGCAAACATACACACACACACACACACACACACACACACACACACACATAAAAATAACTCTTGCCAGGCGTGGTGGCGCACGTGTTTAGTTCTAGCACTTGGGAGGCACAGGCAAGCGGACCTCTATGAGTTCAAGGCCAGCCTGGTCTACATCATAGTGAATTCCAGGCGAGCTGGAGCTACAGGGAGACCCTGTCTCAAAAAAAAAAAAAAAAAAAAAAATCTTAAACATATATAGATGAATTAAACCTCAGTGACACCCCCCCAAGTCAGATCAAGATAAGTCATTCCCAAAGGGCTCCCTACCTACCCCCTAACACCTCCAATGCTGACTCTGTCAGCACAAAGACCTCTACAACTCTACAGCCAGACAAGAATGTGCTCTCCCTTCTGGCCTCTTCCACTCAGCAGCTAGTCTCTCTGACGACAGTCTCGCATTTATTTGTAACTCAGTTACTTTCAATGCTGCTGTGTGCTGTTCCACTGTGTAAACATCATGACTTATTTACCCATCATTCTGTAGTTGGACATTTGGATAACTTCCAAATTTAACAATGATGCAAGAAACTTATCTTTTGATAGAACTAATATCCCTTTCCACTGGCTAAATGCCAGGAGTGGGTCACAGAATCACAGAATGCAGTATTCATTTAGAAGATATAGCCAAGTCATTTTTCCAAGGCAGTATGTATCCTCACCAGCATTTGATATTTCTAGTCTTTTTATTTTTTTTTCTCCATTTGGGTGGGTGTGTGGCAATAACTTTTTATGAAGTTATAGAGACAGGAGAGGATCAGAGCAACACGCTAGCTGTCACTCTAAACTTCACCAATGGGGAGGACTTAAACGCTTAAAAAATTTTTATTGTATGAGAATTTTGTCCGCATGTATGTAAGTACACCATATCCATGCAGGGCCTGTGGAAGGCAGAAAAGGGCACCAGATCCTCCACACACTGGAGCTATAGATGGCTGTGGGCTACCATGTGGGTACTGGGATAGGAACCAGGTCCTCTGCAAGAGCAGCCAGTGTTCTTAACTGCTGAGCCATCTCTATCAGAGAGGCTTTTCCATCTCTAACAGAAAGGATTTTTTACCCAATAATCTCTAACAGGATTTTAAAAAATACTTTCTTTATTGTTTTTATATTATGTGTATGCGTACATTATCTGTGTGCAGGTAAGTGCACTCATGTTGTGCAATGCCCGTGGAGGACAGAAGAGGCTGTTGGATCCCTGGAATTGGAGTTATGGACAGTTGTTAGCTACCATGTGGGTGCTGGAATACGAACCTGGGTCTTCTGCAAGAACAACCAGTGTTCTTAACTGCTGAGCCATCTCTCCAGCCCCACAGAAAGGATTTTTAACCCAATTTTTTTTTAAAGGTTTATTTTTTAAAGTTGATGTGTATGTAGGTTTGTCTCAGTGTGTGTATATGCCACATATGTGCAGTGCTCATGGAGGACAGAAAAGGGCACTGGACGCCCTGGAACTGGAGTGACAGGTGGTTATAAGTCACCTGATGTGGACAATGAGAACTGAACTCAGGTCCTCTGGAAGAACAGTGTGTACTCTTGACTGCTGAGCCTTCTCTCCAGCCCCTACCCAAGTTCTTACTCTTTCAAAAACACTCCAGAGAGCCAGGAGAGCCAGATGGAAGCAGGAAGATCAGTTCAGGATCATCCTCAGCTTCATAGTGAGTCTGAGTCCAACCTGGATTGCAACACACACACAGACACACACACACACACACACACACAAGGTGGAGGCAGGAAGATCAGTTCAGGATCATCCTCAGCTTCATAGTGAGTCTGAGCCCAACCTGGCACACAAGGTGGAGGCAGGAAGATCAGTTCAGGATTATCCTCAGCTTCATAGTGAGTCTGAGCCCAACTTGGATTGCAGGAGACCCTGCCTCAAAAAGACAAAACAAAACACGCATGCACACTAGCTAGATTTAATTTTTAAAGCTATTCTGTAATTCATTCTTCTGAAAGAATGAATCTTCTTTAAGCTGTATGAATAATGTATTAGAAATCACAGCTTTCTTTAATCTTAGTGTTCACACACACACACACACACACACACACACACACACACACACACAAGCTAGACTCTCAACAATATTCAATTCATCTTGTCATAAAGACAATAATTAAAGTATGACATTTCAGTAATGTTCCAGAAAGAAGCATTTCTCATCAAACATACAGCAAAACACTCATTAACTATCAGTCAGAAAACTGCCTTTTCCCATGCTATTTGGAGAGGTAGATTTTGAAAATGGTCACTTTCCTAAGCCAGCAACTTAATTTTATATGTAAACTGCTGCTTTGTTGTGGCAAAGTCATTGTCTTAACCTGAAAAATTTCCACATGGTATTCTTTCTTGGCAGGGCAATGCTTGCAAAACATATCCTTCCCTCAACTCAAAAGATCACCCCAAAAATTTACCTAATTTGGTCTTCTTGATCTGATAGGCCTCAAAGAGAGCCTGGAGTTCCTGGTACTTTTGGGTCAGACGTGCTTTCCGAGCATCCAGTTGGGGCTGATACAAAAGGTTTCCCTCTGCCAGGCTCCGGTTGCTAGCCAGCGTCATTTCTTTGTTGAGCTGAACAGTCTGTGTCTGCAAGAAACACACAGCTGCTGGGACCCACAGAGTATTAGTTCAAGGGCGAGTCCTTGGTGGGGGGCATGCCCACCCCGGGAGCCTGCTCTCCATGCTGCTCTCCCAGCTGGCACCACATGCTGGCCAGACACAGCTAACAGAGCCTCAGGCCCCTCTGCTTTCCTGTGGGCACTCTTCCCGGTCCACAGAGTGAGGCCGGCCTCCCTCCTGCCTCCCTCCTAACATAGTCCCAGGCTGAGCTTTGTCCTACAGCTCCATGCAAAGCTTTCTTCAATGGCTACGCTGTGACTTGAATTCCTATCAGATGCTGCTGTGCTTGCAAAAGTAAACAGCTGTGAAGACACAGGGTGGGTTTGTACAAAACAAGTTTCTGTTGCTCCAGAGGAAGTCAGAGTCACTTTTATCAGAGGGGGATAAGTTGGCAGAATGTCAATGTGGGCTTCATAATCAAACGAGCCAGCCAGGCCGAGTGAATTTTGTTTACAGTGACCTGCCCCATCCAGCTTTCTCACGTTTTCCCTCATTAGCAAAGCTGACCCAAAGGGAAAGGGGGTTGATTTTGCCCAACAAGCGTTTCCTGCATCAATTCAAGAGCATTTGAGCCTGGCATGGTGGCACATGCCTTAATTTCAGCCCTCAGGAGGAAGAGGCCTTCTGTGACTTCCAAGCCAGCCTGGTCTACACAGTGAGTTTCAGGCCAGTTAGGGCTACACAGTGAAACCCTGTTTCAAAACAACAGCAGCAACAAAAAGAAGGTTGCCTCGCCTGTGCAGCTTCAGGGTGGGAGGGCAGGGAAGCCTATGAAAAGGGTTAAGGACAAAAGTTGGCTGCGGTGTGTTTAAAGAGGAAAAGCAAGAGACACATGCATCCTCTCGTTCCCTTTTCATTTACTCGTGACATGCTTCCTCTGCCACAGCCTGCCCACGGCCACCTTGCTTTCTATATTTTAAGTTCAACATCAAACAACCCCTCACACACTGTGCCTGTTTCTCTTCCAGGAGTTCTTCAACCCCACCCTGCCATTCATTTTCCCTTTAATATTTTCTGCTGCCCGACCCAGGCTATTTTAGTTATGACTTCCTCTCTACATTCTAGATAGAGACTCCTCAGCTCCCCCACCTCCCACCATACCCACTGTGGCTCCTGCAGTTCCCAGTACACTCACACATGGGGACTTAGTGAAGCTCCAGAGCAAAGAAAAAGGCCCTTGCATTAGGGTCCCCAATCGCCATGCTGACGTTGATTTAGATACAGAGCAGACAAGAGAGGCCCTGAGACGCTCAGCCTCAACAAAAGAGGATCTCAGTCACAATGGACATTTAAACCCCGAGCTCAACACCACAGAGTGAGGGCCAGGCACACCCCAAAGCTAGGGGGTGGAAGTGCTCTCAGCGTTTTCTGCTGCACCAAGAAAACAAGGCACTTGGGAGCTGCTCAATGCTGCTGATCCCATCCCTATGTCCCCATCCACACCTGTGGTACCCTGAGCTTTCTGTGGGCTTCATGTTCTGACAGCCTGCATAGAGCTTTCCTTCAACTGTTAAGTCACTTAGAACAAACAGCAATAAATCATTGTATAGCCACTCTGAAAAACAGTTTGGCACTTTCTTATGAAACTAGACTTGTAACTATCATATGACCCAGAGATTATACGCCTGAGAGTTTATCCAGAGAAATGAAAGCTCATGTTCATATAAAAACTTGTACATGAATTTCCAAGCAGCACTGTTCAAAATAGTCTGAATCTTGTCAGGCGTGATGGTGCACACCTTTAATCCCAGTCCTGGGGAGACAGAGACAGGCAGATCTATGTTCGATTCCCAGAACCCACATGGTGGCTAACAACAGTCCATAACTCCAGTTCCAGGGAATCTATCTCCCTCTTCTGACCTTAATGGGCACTGCACAATACCAGTGCACTTACATACAGAAGACAGGCAATACATTCATACATGTAAAATAAATATTTTTTAAAAAAAGAAATCGTTTTCCTGCTCACTGTCTATCTCCCCTATCAAAATCCAAGACACATAACTGATTGTGGTTGACACAACAGACTCCCCAATACACAGCTGGCCCTCAGTGAAGATCTGCTCAACGAACCAGAACCCTCCTTCTCCTTAAACAAAAAATCATGGGAGGGCTGGACAGATGGCTCAGCGGTTGAGAACACTAGTTGTTCTTGCAGAAGACCCAGGTTCGAATCCCAGCACCCACATGGCAGCTAACAACTGTCTGTAACTCCAGTTCCAG